CAATTTTGTTGAAGATAGTACTCTGAAAAGAGCAGGAGAGCACTAGTTCTAAACTTATCTAATATCATGAAATTGGACAAAAAAGCAAATGGTAGAAGTTAAAAGCAGTAGCTCTCTAGTCTTCTAAATTTATAATAAATTATTGTAATAAAGCTTTCACTGTCTTAATTTTAAAAACATTTTATTTCTGAAGTATTTTTTGGGACAATTCATTATAAATGATAGGGTATGCACATATATGTATATGCATATCATAGGGTAGAGGTCTAGAAAACTTGTACACTTGTACACACACAAGTACCATGAAGAAGGTTGACAGGGGTGTAGGATTATACCTTTATTTTGTAGAATCTCAACTTTCCATTAAAACAGACTTTAATTTTCACAGTTCTGATACTTCCAACTGTGAACAAGGTACCACAAATACAAGAATGTCGTCAGAGAAAATAGCTCTAGAAATACTTAAATCCCTTTTCCTAACCACCTATCTGAAGCATTATCAATGAAACCTAATGTTGACACTGTTACATAGTTGATCACTGAAGCATGGTGCAATGCTGGAATGGAGACGACATTGGAGAGGGAAACCAAGCAGCAACAGTGTTATTGTCACGTAAGATACTCCTTACAAGGAACCAGCACATCAAAGAGAAGATAGTAGGAAGAGTGAAAAAAGAATGTAAACAGTAGAAGCTCTGAAAAAAACTCAACATTTTCTCAATCAAGGACACAACGAAGTCCTGAGTAAATCAAAGATGACGATAAGCAAAGGTCGTTTATAACAAAAAATGCTGTACCCTGTATACTAGGCCTTGGGCAAGTTTTGCTATGGGTGTGTCAAACACAGAATGCAGTATTCTTTATACCCCAGCTGACAGACCACACACTAACCAGAAATCAAACCTCTGAATACACTGACAGATGCATTGACCATATTCTGCAAAAACAAGAAGGGAAATGCTGCCATAGTATAGGAGCGTTAAAAAATACTATCCAAGTGTGACATGGTTTTATAAGATCTGCTACACTAAACTCTCTGAGCTCCTTCCACGTAAAAACACGCATCGGCTGAGGTCCTGCCTGTAGATTTTACATTCTTTCTAATGTGTAGGACTGGGTTGCTGAGTTCATACCTCAAACTATTGCAGACAAAACATCATATATCAGCTTCGCATACTTTATCCCAAGCTTTGGAGCCGAAACCAGCTCACTTGACTTCCAGGTCACTGCAGAAGACCGTAAAACAGTCCCTGAAGTATAATTTTTTAATATATATATAATTTTAATATGGAAAGCTTATTTTTTTCGGGGGCTCAATTTTGATAAGCTTAAAGCAAACAGGTTTGATTAAAGTCAGCTTTTGGATTAAGAAGGAATATGAGAAATATCAGTCTCAAGAATAATCCTTTAAAATAAGGAAGCTAGATGGGACTGCTAAAAGTAAATTCAGATATGTAGGGCTAAACCAACATTTTTGTATAAGGTATGCTGTTATTAGCCATTATTTGGCATAATTTCTGAATTCCAAGATAATTTTCAATATGATCCCTTAGTTGTTGAGATAATAATGGTATAATTCAGTAAACGATCATGGAATCATAGAATAGTTTGGGTTGGAAGGGACATTAAAGATCAATTAGTTCCAATCTCCCTGCTATGGACAGGGACATCTTCCCCTAGGTCAGGTTGCTCAAAGCCTCATCCAATCTGGCCTTGAACACTTCCAGGGATGGGGCTTCCACAACATCACTGGGCAACCTGTTCCAGTGCCTCACCACCCTCAGAGTGAAGAACTGCTTCCTTAGATCTAATTTTAACCTACTCTCCTTCAGTTTAAAGCCATTATCCCTTGTTCTTTCACTACATGCCCTTGTAAAACATCCCTCTTCAGCTTTCTTGGAGTCTGGAAGGCTGCTCTAAGGTCTCTCTGGAGCCTTTTCTTCTCCAGGCTGAACAACCCCAACTCTGTCAGCCCGTCTTCATAGGAGAGGTGCTCCAGCCCTCAGTTCATCTTCGTGGCCCTCCTCTGGACTTGCTCCAACAGATTCATGTCCTTCTTATGTTGAGGGCTCCACAGCTGAACACAATACTCCAAATGATACTAATGAAAAGTTTGCTTCATGTAAAAAACAAATACTGAGGCATATTTATTGTGAAAATTTTGCCTAAAAATATTAGGCAACTTCTCTGCAGTGTTTTCACTTTATTACTGAAGGAAAACATTGCAATATATTATAAAGTCAAACTTATACATTAGTATTTTTGTGGAAGAGGAACAAAGCCAGTAATCTCCTTACATATATAAAATCTCTGAGTGCTCTGACAGTGAATACTGAGTCAATCTTCCCATTGAGTCAGGGTGTATATGACAAACATGCTCTACTTGAAATGTGAAACTTAATTCCAGCATGATAATTTCAGGGACCAGTCCTGCAAAGTACAGAAGTCATGGCAGGGCATACAATTGCAGCATAAGTAACTAGACACTACTGTTAAACACATTTTAAACTCTATTGTACAATAGCCTTTGTCTCAGTAAAGCTATTTTAACAAAGGACCATGTTTGTTCAAGCAAGTTTTTCTAGCTGTTTTTCCACTGAACCTGAGCAAACCATTCAGTGACTAATTTACTTGGTACGTTTTCATTTGTTGTCATTCATAGATAATTTACAGCTTTAGCAGATATATTGCTTTTGCTTTTACATATGTTTTGGTTTTTTGTTTCTTTATAAAGAGTTTTTTGCAAATTGTTCTTAGGCCATGCTCAGAAAAAAACTTCCAATTTTTCAACTGCGGACTTTTAGCTTGATTGGGTATCACCACTAGGTGTAGTTTTGGTTGTTTGATAAGAGTTACTAGCCTATGATTTGTAACTATAAATCATGTAACTGTCAGTTCCTCCAAGTTCAAGCAAAGCCACAAACTATAGTTTCTGTCTAGTCAAGATATCTGGGAAGAGAAAAGATGGTGAGAAGAAATTTCTGAGTATCTTACTTTGATGAATGGCTTTGGAGAGCAAGGAGGAAGGTAGAAAGCATGATACAAAAGAAGGGAGAACAGATGAGAAATAAAAAGAAAGAACTTTCCAGGAAACCAGAGAAGTAGCAGGAGAGAGAACCTTCTGCCATAATTCACTTAATGTAAAACTGATCTTTACCAATACTCTGCCATATGATTCACATCAGGCTGGTGATACAATTATTTACACTTCAGGGAGTGCAATTTGCCTTAGTCCTGAAGGTTCCTCTCTGTCCACAGTTATCCCTCACTCCAGTACAATCTTTTTATCACTTTCTTAATCTGAAAGAATACGCTCGATTCTAGTTATAGATTTTAAAACAATACGTTAAAACATTTAAAGAGTATGTTGACGCATACATTCAAACAAAGTGAAAGTCTGAATGCATGGAACATCCTCTGTAGGCATAAATTGTACACACATCTTCCTGGACTATTTTTTTATGTTAATTTCAAAGCATATAAAACACTAATGCTTTTTCACTATTTTAAGAACTGAATGAACATATTAAATATTTGCTATTTGCATTTTTGAACACACTATAATCTTGATCCTACTAGCCATTTTCCTACGGCTTTCCCACTGCCCTATTTATCTTTTCTGACAACTTGGCTGGAAGATCTTTTAGTCACTGTTTTTCTATAATTCTACACACACAATTATTGCAATTGCTCATTTATGCCATACATAGTTCTGGTTATAATATGTGAACCTGTATGTATTTACATATGCACACACATACAGACTATTAGTAACTCTTAATTTCGTTCAATATGCTAATTTAATTATTCATTTACTCTGCAAAACTTTTCCATTAAATTGACTCAAATACTCCAGAGTAGTGTCTTACTGAAAGAAAAAAACAACCCAGAATTTTGAAGGAGGCTGATTAATTTTCAAGTGTTTTATTTAAAACACACATATATACTAACATCTACACTCATTCCCTACAGGTCGAAAACTCATCCCGTTGAAATGAATGTCATATTTAGTTCAACAGGCAAAAGTTCAAACCTTGGTGCTTTAAAATAGTAAATATTTTATCAGGCACTTCAAAAATAATGGATGCTTCTGTAAATTCAATTATATATGATGTGTATTCTATCTGCAAGACAGATTCACCTCGTGGGGTTTTTTTTTGTCCATAAAGCTTTCTGGACAATCAGGTAAAAAACTGTCAGCTTAGCTGAATAACAAGAAAGAAATAAGGGACTAGAAAATAAGAACCAGAAATATTCTGTGAACACAACCGATTTCAAGCACTTAGACTGACTGGATTCAGAAATCCTAGAGAGTCAGCTAAACCGTCCAAACGTTCACTTACATTTAAGCAGCAAATCCAAAACATGTGCTATGAAGAGGAATTCTATATGAAAAACTACCAACAAGGAACACACCATGGCTCTTGTTATCAGCTCTCTCTCCCTTTCTTTCTCCCTGCTCCTGAAGCACATTGGAGGCACTAACACTATAGTAACTTATTTGATAAGCAGTATGCCTATTTCCTTTCTCTTTTGAACATTTTTTTTATACTACATAGCACAAGAAAACTAAAAATATGAGTGTTTTGCATAATCTAATTTCTCTCAAGATCATTTTAGAATTTTTACTCTGAATACTGGAGCAAAAAAACATTTGTACTTAATTCAACAAATGATACATCATATTAATGTACAGAAGAAACCCAGAACATGGTCAGTAGTTTTTTTGTGGTTTATGTATGTGTTTTGGTTTTTTTTCCCCCTCTTCATTTTTTAACTCATTTACTGCCATCTCCTGGTACTTACAAGGTAATAGTATTTATGCTATTTTAACAGCGGCCAGTACTCCTGTTTAAAACTACTGAAATTCTGAAATGTCAAAAAAACTTCAGAAATATTTTAGAAATATTGCTGTACTTTTTACATTTCTGTCTTTTATTCCAGAAATTGCGAATATATATATATTGGGCACCACCTGGTAAAAGGTTCATGTAGCTTACCTTCGTCTGGAAGCAGCAGTAAAGTTGTGTTAGGTATGGATGTTTCCGTGCTAATGCCAGAATTCTCTTTTCTGTCATTGTACAGTCTACATCGTCATCTTGAAGTATGACATCTTTCTTCAAGACTTTCACTGCATATACTTCATCTTTCCCTTTTAGTTCAGCTAGCATTACCTAAAACAAACAGAAATTGTTTACATATGAACAACAGATAACCACAAATGCAGGGTCGTATATGAGTTTGACTGCACTGGAAATATAAAGACAGTTTCATACTTGCCTGAATGAAGTTGTATGTTCATAGAATTAAAACTAAAGCAATGTAATTTTGGAAAAATATACTTCTGGTATTCTTTATATTTGAAACAGATGATACCTTTTTTTTGTTTGTTTTTAGTTAAGAATGGAGAAGATTAAAAAATTTTATTCCCTCATTGAAATATCTTAATGAGTACTTATTAATGAGATCTCAAAAACTGAAAAAGGAAGTAAGTTTATATAGAATAGAAATTTATTTCCCACTTTTATCTCCCACTTTTGGTGGTGAGATTTGTGTGTGACAAATTTAGCATACAATCCCATGTATCATTCTGGTCACTTTCATGTTGTTGATTTTAACTACTACTTTTGTTTAAGGTTCAAATCCTACACTGTGTTTACGGTCAGTTCTGGCTTAGAGCCAGGGTAATCTTCAGAGAAAGGATTAGAAAACAGGGAAGCAAAGGAACTGCTTCGGCCCTGTCCCTCTGCATCTGCAGTTCCTGTATATCAAGCAAGGAAGAGTGTACTTCTGAAACAGATTCACATTTCAGTCCTCCACTTTGATTCCATGGTGCACAGCACTATGGAAAGAAAATCTATAAGCACTGTAAAGAGAGCAATGCCTCTTCCACCCTCATCAGTTCTCTACTATGGGAAGGTATTTGGTGAGTTACATCTTTGCTAAATACGTGGTATTTTGGGCAACTGTCTAAGCCTCTGGCACTCATTGTATCTGAGTAGAAATGCTTGAAGTCTGCTTCCTCCAGCACCGAACACACCCACTGAGTCAAAACAAGCACACAAACTGTTCTATGAAATAAGTAAACTTGAACTGGGCATTTTCTAGAAAGGGAATGAACTCAGAACTCCACTGCATTATTTCTGGGCTGATTTTTCCTGCTTGACCACAATCGATTATCTTGTTGAACAGGATGTATGTAACTGTATGTATGTCTTCATTACCAATATCCTGAAATAGTGAAACATTGACATTTTGTTTCAAAAGACTTGACCCTAGTTAAAGAAGTGAGCGAAAGAACAGAAAATTCCAGCTGATCAGGAGGCTGATATTCCTGATCTGTGGGGTAAAAGCTCCTTTTACCCAATGGGCAAAGCATGGAAGGAAATGCCTGGGGTGGAAGCACTTTCTGAATGTCACTATGAATACTTTCAAAGCAGTACAATCAAAAAAAGCCTGCACACCAGTGAAAAACCAAAACCAAACCAAAACTAAAACCCAACAATAACTAAACCAAAAAACTACTCACCTTGCCAAAGCTGCCTTTTCCTAATACTTTGATGAAGTTGAACTCTTCAAGGCCTATTCGCTTGGTCTGAGCCTGTTTGACCTCCCCGTTTTCACCGTTCTCCCCTGCTTTAAGCTGGTTGTCTGATGACGTTGTAGCTGCTGCTCTGTGTTCCTCTCCCCGGTTGTCAAACGATAACGCTTTCCTAATGTTGTTTTCTAGTTCTTTGATTTCTGTGGAAATATTAGAAAAAAGTGTTCATTTTAACCAACCATCAGGAAAACAGCCTGTGTTAGTCTGTAACAGTTTTGGGACGGGACACTCATCATGCCTGAATACTGTGTAGAACATTCTGTGGTTAAGACTACCTATTCAGTAAACTGCTTCTCCGTCTTACAGTAATCAGCCAAAACCTTGCTCTAACAGGAAGGGTGGCCTTTGAAAATGAACCTAAGAGAATTACATACCCCAAACTTGAAAGGCAAGTCAGAATAGTGGCCAAATAGTTGTTTTAGTGATTTTGGGTGTTCCTGTACCACAGAGAAGTACTTTGTTTTGAATACTCCTGTCTTCCTGCAGCACTTACTCATCTTCCTGCTTAAGTATTTGAGAGTTGTATCTTCAAAAGTTCAAAGGACAGTTGGGTCAATAAAGTGTTTGACCACTTCCTAGTGCTGCTTCAAGCAGCAATTGTGTAGATCTCCTAAATAGTTCTGAAGGTTTCTCAATGCTTAACACAGTGAGTCCCGGTGACTATTGGACCTCGGGGTTTGCCTCAAGCTCTTGCATAGTATTTCTGCCTGATGGCCTTTGAAGCAACAACTTTACTGGAAAGCTACAAAAGTGAAATTTAAGAGAAAATTTAGACAAATTATTTTTTCTTATTTTAAGCAAAACATCAGATATCTAAAAAATATTATTTAACCAAAATATTGTCTGTGAAGCCAAAAGGCTGACAAATTTAAATCAGTTCTGGACTCAGAGTTTTACAGTACTTATGACCATGGAGCCTTGGAAGTCTCTTCCCTAAAAATAAGGCTGAAAAACTCTTCAGCTGTAAATTATTTTCATATAATTTGACACAAAAGTATCCATCTTCCTATGTCTTGGTGTAAAGATTTTTCATTCATCAGTTTACACATGTGAGGGTACATAAGATAACTCACAGACTTCTGATTTTTAAAAATAAAAATCAGACCATATTCACAGAGTGCTGCTGATATGCATGTTCTGTCAATCAGGATGTTCAGCTCAATGAAATCAGGTCATATCAATGAAAATTAAAAGATTTGTCTCCAAATCTATGCATGAGAAAGAGTCACTGAAAGGAAACATGGGTTTACAAAGACTCTAGAGACCACACAGACACGCTACCATAGCCTAACTGGATGGAAGCTTTTATTATCACAAATGTTCAACACAGGATTGCAAGAAGGCAAATTTATCTCAAAAACTTATTAACAGAGAGAGGCTTTTCAGACAGATAAAGGCTCTCTCGAGTTCTGTGGTACTATTTAAAATGTTCTCACTCTTATAATAAAATATATTACATTAAGGTATTTGGTTAGGCAAGTACTCAATTAGTAAACTTCACAATATTTTAAGATAACTGTTTTGCAATTTTCCCTTTAAAAGTCACTTAATTTCACAGATTTAAATGAAATGAGAAGCAGGGCTTTTAAAAAAGCTATTGCATTTCATAACTTTATTTGTCCTTCATTTTCTGATGGTAACTACTTCATTGATTTGGTTCTACAGAGAGCGGGGCTGATAGCTTTTTTACTCCTCATAAAGAAGGATAATATGTGACAATATAAGTTAGTTAAGAAATAAAAAGAGATGTTCAACCTTGATCACATGGAGAAGTTGGTGCTGACTTTGACCTATCTTCTTCTGATGATGCACTTCCAGGAACTGGTGGTTGTGTCTCTGCACCTGCAATTAGCTAAGAACAATTCCAAAAGGGGTACTCAGCTATGAGATCCTCCTGTGTCAAGAGGAAATTTAATTTAACAACATTAATTCACAAGTAGAAGTATGACGTAAAGCGAAGATGTTCTACTCGTATAGATTCTATATAGGACCTCAACAATACAGTAGATGGCATCACACCAAATGAAGACCAAGACTTTCTTCTCTTTCTAGAGAAAGAACTAGCAATTTAAAGAAAAATAGGTTCTTAAGATGAAGTAAACGTAATAGGCATACCCAGTGAGTGGGAAAGTTTTGTATAGCCACCATAAGCCTGTGTAGAAATCTATCGAGTAAATACATTTAACTATAACAAGTACCAGCAAGCACCGCAAACTAACTCATGCAGTAACAACCTGACAACACCTTTTCCCAGGAGTCACAGATCAATTAATTTATTCCTGAGTTTTCTATGTTTCTGTAACGTTTTAAAACAGTGTACACAATCAGGACATAATCATAATACAGTGTGCAATAATCAGGAAAACGAACAGAACCAAACGTCAACATTTTATGAAATTATGGTAAAAACTGCCTATTTCTGTTAGTGAGAGCAATGGGTCTGTTGTCACCATCATGCAAATAGAGATAGAAACATGGCCAAATTCTGATCCAGAATACATATTATCAATCCAGAATAACTCCAGAATACATATTATCAATCCAGAATAACTCCATCAGCTTTGGATGTATTTGGGGTCACCTATGCTTTTTATTTCTAGAACAGCTTAGTTCTTCCTGTAATAGTGATGATAACTTTGGAACCGTCACTTGGCAAACAGGTCCTCGTCATGAGAATCAGCACATGGATCACTTATCAGCATTTACAATGTTACGGAGGAGTGCTGTGTCTTAGTCAATCAATCGTTCAATGCCAATTCTGAGCCAAAAAGACATTTATGTTTTTTATGAACTGTTGTGTCAGACACACTCCCTCTGTCAAATTTCCTTCCTCAGAATTAAAAAGGGAAAATTCTTCCAGATTCTATACAGATCCAGGTTTGCAAAATTGTAGCAGGTCAAAATAAATCTCATATCAGAATTCAGAATAGATGATTTGCACTTATAAACCAAAAGTCAGTCTGAGTTCTGTACTAACTTCAAAGAAATTCTGTGCAAGTGAATGGGATTGAACCCCAACTAGTAAAGTTACAATGCAGCAATACTTCTCTCATTTTTCACGTGACACTACACAGCAAAATTACCTTTTTCCTCCTCTGCCCACTATTAGTGATCTTATCTGGAGTGACTCCAAGATCTGCAAGAACTTTAGCTATGCCTCTAGCATCCACTCCACAGTTTGGTGCCACATTTGTTTCACAGCGTCGATGTACATTCATCTTGCAAACTGCAGTGAAATATAAAGTAATAGAGTAACTGAAATACTACCTTGGCATGCATTTGTCTTACTTAAATCAGACCTTATTTGACCTACCAATAACTTTTTCAATTAAACATAATTTCAGTAGAAAAAACACTTAGCTGGATTTGCTAAGTCTAAATTGAAGTGACACTTCAATGTTAACATAAAATTATCAACCTGGTTATGAGTCTTCTGCTGTGATAATGCAGAACAGTATTTTCACATAATACCCAGGACAGACATAGGAACAACTGAAAATAACTAATGATCCTGTAAATCTTAAATAGAATTTGAAGAAAAGTCCTTCAGAGCTTGGATTTTAGCAGTCCACTTCTGCTCTCATACTGAGAGCACAACACCTGCTCATGTGTTATTGCTTCTTACTCTAGGAGTTAATCTACTTGAAAAAAGTAATGTAGGTAGACATAAAATCAACAGTGTTTTAAGTTTTAATAAAAGTCTTTGGCACTGTTAGACACTCTCTTTAGATGGCAATCATTTACTAAGCTCTCTCTCTTAAATACCATCTCCTGAATCTATCTTACTAGTAAGAGGAAAAAAAGGTTACTTTGCTCCCAGGTTACGGGGTAGGGAGTAGAACATAGCTCCATTAAAAATAGAGAATGGATTTGTTAGGAGCGGATGATGCATTTTATCTTAGGCTTCACTGCCCTCTGGTGGAGCCAGGCATAAAGAAAGCAAAACTGCAATTGTAATCAAATTCTTCTAGATAAACATTCAACTGCTCAGTTTCCTCATTTCATTACTTTTTAGAGAAAAAAAAAAAAAAGATCAAAAAGTATGTATTTATAAAGTTGCATTTCATTATATTGTTCACCAACAATGCGTTCACCGCATAAGCCCTACAGAAACGCGCTACATTTGCCTCTCAGCCTACGCAGAGGCACTGTGGCTGGAGCAGTAAACACATGCTTCAGAAAGCAGGTGCCTTTCCTTTCCAAGCATGTTTCAGCTCACAAGAGGAGTAAAAAGAAATTGCTACACGTGGTATTTTCAGTGTACGTATATTCAGTGAGAAAAGCTCAGTAGCAAGTAAAATGTTTGACCTAGGATACATAACAGTGCACACCGAGGAACTGAACTGCTTGAAGTAAAGGAAGCAGGGAAATTTTGTACAGTCCAACTTCGTGAACGTATTTTGTAAAAAGAAGTGCAGGAATAAGCAGTGAAAAAAAAACACAGAAGAAGAAGAAACCTCTGGAATACGCTTTTCATGGTGTTAACTGGGCAAGCAAGTACATCTCTGAAGAAAGGAGCATTGTTTGGCACTTGTTAAGAGAGAAAACAAAGCACAGAAAAAATGACATTTCCAGCTCAGCTGAACTGCAGATTTCATGCAGACAATACTGCGTTTTTATAGGCACTAATTTGATGAACATGGGGAAAGCAACATAGGTTCTCTAAACTATTGTTTCTATGTATCTGCTACACAGTAAATGCATACATATGAGAAATAACATTATTTTCTACAGTTAAGAGGAAACGAGCCACTATGGTACTTGAGAGAGAATATGAAAGTGGAGTAATATATTCACAGATTAAGTGGAGAGATACTACAGCTCTGATTAAAACTCAAAGAGAAAAAAAATCATGTTTAATTGAAAAATCTTCTCTGAACATATCCCTACCATAATTAAGATAGCATTTGAACGAACTCCTTAATAGTAGTAAAGTAACAATATTCAGAGTCTAACATTTTATCACTGCTCAGTAGCTAGAATCACAAGGGAAGGCCTGAACTTCAGAATGCTCTCACTGTGTATCACTTTGCCATGAAAGAAATTTCTTCTTTCACTTGCTGCTCAGCAATTTGTGACACAAAGCATTAGGTCTGATCTTCACCTACAGTTATGTCTCATCTTCAATACTGCAAAGGATATATTTAATAGATCACCCGCTTATACATAGTGTGGTCAGCAGGTCAAGAGAGATGATTCTCCCCCTTTACTCTGCTCTTGTGAGACCCCACCTCAAATACTGTGTCCAGTTCTGGTGTCCTCACCATAAGAGAGACATAAATTTGTTGGAGCACGTTCAGAGGAGGGCCACAAAGATGATCCAGGGGCTGGAGCACCTCTGCTACGAGGACAGGTTGCGGGAGCTGGGATTGTTCAGCCTTGAAAAGAGAAGACTTCGGGGGGACCTAATAGCTGCCTTCCAATACCTGAAGGGAACTTACAGGAAGGCTGGGGAGGGTCTTTTTACAAGTGTCCACTGATAGGACAAGGGGAAATGGGTTTAAATTGAAGGAGAACAGATTTAGATTAGATCTTAGGAAGAAATTCTTCAGTATGAGGGTGGTGAGACCTTGGAACAGATTGCCCAGAGAGGTCGTGGATGCCCACTCCCTGGAGGTGTTCAAGGCCAGGTTGGACGGAGCCTTGAGTAGCCTGGTCTAGTTGAGAGGCATCCCTGCCCACGACAGGGAGGTTGGATTAGATGATCCTAAGGTCCCTTCCATCCTACGCCATTCTATGACTCTATATATGTGACTCCATGTTTCTGCTGTTGAGAAGTGTACATAATGTGATTTTTGTATTTATGAAGATGGACCTACCCATTAGTAACGGTGTAACAGAATGAAAATGTTTATAATTCCATAAGGTACTACTTTCTAAGAATCTGACAATCTTCATGGCATCATTCCCATCAAATCACTAATTGAAGTATTTTCCTCACTGTTTTTAAAATATTACTTTCCTTTGCAAGTGTTTGTACTGTTTTCTCCCACCTTTAGAATATATAGATCTGCTTGAAACAAGGAGATATTGAACCAACCATTTATGTTAGTCAGCTAAAATTACATGAACGCACCTTCCAGCAGTAACTTCATATACAGTTACTGTACAGAGTACACAGTCCTTAAGCTGCAGAACATAACAAATCCTCTGCTTTATGTAATCCTCTTCCAGGCAGACCATCACAAAGGTTGATTTAGCTAGATATCAGAATAGCTCATCTTCTGGATATGGGCACACAGGACTGGTTCTGCCTAGCCTAGTCAATACATAACAGCAATTTTGGAGACGGTATTAAATGGAAAAGTAGCTGGAATAATGATGTTTAAAATGTTTAAACAACCATCACCACAAACCTGAAAACACAAAAGGCATATAAGCTGAAGGGATATAAATTCTCATGCTCCTCATTTTCTGTCAGCTTCTAATTTGCTATGTGGCAATTAACCTACACACCAGCGAGTGGAAAATGTGTTTCTGCACCCCTGCCTTCTGCATCTGTTACTGACTGGTGCTGCAGACAGGGTAAAGGACCATTTTCTAACCACGATGGCAAACCCTACAGCAGCCTGTTACTTACATTCTACTCATTTCTGTACATGCTGGAAAAGACAGAGTAACATGAAGTCTTTCCAAGTGTACTGCACTCACAAAGAAAAAGAAAACCTCTTGAGTGGTAATTCTTACCTTTGCATTGTAAACCTTGTCTCAAAAGACCCCAGAGTAATGAACCACAGTGGTCACAGAAGGTTGGCACTTTGTAATTGTGAATGCTGAACTTGTGAGGCATGTTGACACTGAAACGCTGGGATCCCACTTGCTGAAAAAGGAAAGTACAGCATATTTCATTCTAATTAATTTCTTTATATTCAGTATATGCCATGGCCCTTTTATGTTTTGAAACCACACAGAATTCAAACAAGACGAAATAGGTTTGTGCTCGGATGATGATCTTTGTATTAGAAACACTCCAGCTCCAGAGTTCTTTTCACTACTTTATTTGGGGAAAAGAGGGGGAAGGGCTGCTGCTGCTGTCCAAGAGATAAAGACTAAAGCCTACTTCCTAGTACTTCTGGGAACAACAAATACATAGCTATCAGGAAAGATCTCTTCATGTGGAAGGCAAGGAAGTCACTCCCAATTGTTTTAGGAGCAGGAGTAAGATAGATAAATATATCACAACCTCTTTACTTTTTCATATCCCACTCCTCTTTACCTTATGAAAATGACAATGATAATTTTTTTGTTTAAGGGATTCCATGGTATGATTACTTACTAAATAAAAGATGTCATTGATAAGTTTTTATAGTGGCCACTGCATAGCAGAAGATTTATTTTGATGCTTTTCCTTCCCTTTCGTATTACCATTGGCTTCTCTCCAGTGATCTAGTACCCCTTCTAAACAATAAGAGCATTATATCAGCAAAGAATACAAGTCTCCACCAGTCTGGAGCCTGGGAATATAAATCCATGACGGATTTTGTATCTTCCTGTGGATACTATGTGAAAATAGCGTTAGCCAAACACAGTCCTTTATCACAATCCTATGCAAGAGAACAAGTTTTGGATATAAAATACTGGTTATGAACCAGATATTCAAGAATGCTTCCAGTATGAAAAACTGTAGTGAATTGCACAGGAAGAATGAGATCAGTTAATGTCTCAGTCAAACTAATATCAAAGTATTGGGATTACCAAAGAAAGAGTGGCTACACACAATTCTAATTCGTAATTTAAAGCTAGGCTTTTTCAAGCATGTAAATGTAGGTTCTTAACAAATAAAACTAAGATATGTACTTTTTCTGTGTGGCCAAGGAACTGGGATCACCCACAGACTACGTCACCTAATCCTATGGTGAAAGACAGTAGGCACTTGCTGTTGCACAAAACAGAACAGGACAGTGAGCATTCATTAGCTTTTCTGTTAAAAACAAGCAAACAAAAAACTTCTGTATAAGATAAAGCATTCACTGGTTACAGCTGAGGGCTACAACTGTTTAAAAAAAACCATAAAACCCACACCCATCCCCAACTGTCCTCTATCAATCCAGCGATAAAGGGATACCCCAAAGCTGAGCAGCCTAAGGGAGCTGAACACAACAGCAGTCACATCACTCCCTGGTGTATGTCTGCCCACAAAAATTAAGATTAATTTCCTAAGCAAGTCTAAAAGGACCATCTTAGCTGAGAGAGACCTTTAAACTCAAGTGAAAGGATTGCTTTGCTTTTGCTTCTGATGCAGAGCTGTTGTTGGCAAATGCATTTACCAACCTACCACTACGGTTCTGAAGGCAGATAATTTCATTTTCAGGTGATGTCTTCATTTATTTACACGCAGGATAACATAAAGCACGTATCGTTTTAATTCCATTAATATACAAAAGCTTGCTAGAGGTACGGAGCAATTATGCTGGAAAACCTGTTAGCTATGCAGTACCTTGTGTTATCACTACCAAGGTAGTGATATCTAAGACAATATCAATGGGCTTTCTTCAACACACGGATGACTTTTGTTCTACATTTTGATAGTCTGGATGCAGTCTTTGTTGAGGTGAGACTTTGCAAGCAAATTCTGGGCAATCTTTTATGTTGATGCAAGATACTCAAGCATACTGCTCATCCCATCAGCTGCTAATGACTCAGCCACACAAAATGCAGTTAAGGGATAAGGGGTCTCATCCTGCTTATTCTGAATTAAAATGACAGAACTTGTATTAACTCAGAAATGGAGAATGTTAAAAGGAATGGAAGGAGCTCACTGAGACTTTAAGCATTCAGATGTTATAAAAAGTTTAGTAATTAGAAATAAATTGCTGTATAATAATTCCCATGTAATTGGAACTGCTATGGTAATCTGCCATTCCAAAGTAAACGTTAGATTACAAGATGACCAGAAAGGCACAAAAATGTCTATAACATTTATTGATTAAACAGAGGAGATGACACTACTTCAAACAGATGAAAGACAAGAGTTTTTATCTAGAAAATTTATTTTATAAACATTTACCTCATCGTGAGTTTCCTGTTTTTTTAAGCCAGCACACTTCGTTATTATAAGTTCATGGCATCTCTTGTGTACGACACAAGTGCAAACTGTAAACAAAAAACAGATAAAAGAATGAGTTTTCATGAAGACTGATTTTGAAGCAAAAGACTGAACTCAGAAGACTAGAAATGCTGACTTGAAAGGCTGCAAGTGACTGGTGACTTGGGGAGTCCTATGAAGTAAGTTTAGCTTACAAAGGCAGAAGATAACAGACTTTCAAGAGACCAATGAATTTTAAGAGAACTAAAGCACATCTGCCAAAATCTCAGTATGTAAAACTACAAATTACCTTCTGAAATATCACCCACAATTTTTCTCAAGTTTTACATATTTGATTTCTTTATCTGATAAAATCCATGATGTCCACATTATATAAGACACAATGGCAAGAACTGAAGAGCTTCCAGAAAAAAAAACAACACAAACCAAATATAAAAGGTGACTCACTGTAAAAGTCAAAGAACAGAAAAATCAAAGTCGAACATTCTTTCTGTAACACATTATCATAAGTTGATAACAGTAAAAGGTTTCAGGAGGCACAAATGCTTTGTCAATATTCATACTGATTTTAATCAATGAATAACATTTGCAGATACAACAGCTAAGATTAAAAATTACAAGGTCTATCGTACTGTAGGATTCAAGGTTATTAAGTGAACGAAAAAAACCTTCAGCATGAAATACTAAATTTTGGGTTTTTTTAGCTTTGGTCATTGTAAGAAAAAAATAATCATAACTCAAGGAAGCTCTGCTGTATGTTAATATAGTAATTCTTATTATAGTCTGTAAAACCATTATTGCATTTATTTATTTACAAAGAGATTTCACCAAGTCTTTCCTAACAGAAAAATCTTCACTAACTTGATCATTTCTACTTGTCAGATGAGAATTAAGTAGAAAAACATCATTCCAAGAGGTGATTGCATAAAAAATTAAGAGTACAAGAAATCGTGTTGAAAAATGGAGTTGAAAATGAAGCACTTCTGCAGTCTTTGCTATAACCTCCTCTAATGATGACCTCTATAATTATCTCATCCATTTAATTGCAGTCTTCGCTATTACCTGGCATTTTCAAACAAAGAATAAAGAATTCACAATTTCAAAATGCAAAAAGTGAAAAACAAAGAAGCCAACATCTGCAGTTATGCCTCCCTAGTCGGATGTGCATCAAGAGGTACCTAGGATCTGCTGTTCAGTGACGGCAATGGTGCCCCAACCTTATATATGCTGCCTAAGACCAATAGTTTTGAAAAATCTTACTGTGACTTAGTGTAAAGACAGTATCTTTGGTGAGACAAACTTATTCTGATCATCTCGTGGTAAATTCTTAACACCGTACATCTACAATGCTTGATGAAAATATCTTATTATTTATATATTATAACATAATACATATATTCAAAATGTCCCTCTGTAGATTTTCTCTTACCTTGACATTGGTATCCCTGTTTTCCTATTACACCCCTGAAAATAAAAGTGTTTTAGAAAATTAAGAATATATATTTTTAAATATGAAAAACATTTTTTTTCTCTCTTTACTGGACATGTACAAATTTAAGGGAGTAGTGACTTATAACCAATAATCTGATAACTACATGTCTAGACTGAGATCAGTTCAAAGTAGAAACCACATTTCAGCTGCGAAGAGGTAACAAGTAGCAAGATTACTTCTGAATCCCTTCATGGCCCAAGACACATTTACTGTAATAAAATAGCAAAGCCAAAGGGTACGTAGAAAGGGAAGCCACAAGTTGGTAAAAGAGTCATCAAGCTGGCCTCTAAACAGATAGAAGATTGCATGTGCCAATATTGTTGCTTGAAACCATCGTAGCTAACGTAAAGCCCAACCTGCAGGTATTTCTTAGAGGAACATAGATGAGTTCATGTACAATTCACATCATTTCACATTAAGAAATATTGATCCATTATAACTCTTAAGAAATGTTAATTATGGATCACATCAGATCTTATGTGTGTTAAGGTGCAAATCAGTATCCCTAGGTAACTTTGGAAAACATCAATAGAGTTGCTGAAAACTTAATGTCTCCACCACTTTTCCCTATCTGAAAATTGTGAGTACTTTAAACTAATGTAAATAATTTCTCAAAGGGAGTTCTTGACATAGACTGTAATAGGAAAGACACTGTACACTGAGCACACGAACCCCAGGATCATTACAAGTCTAATACTCCCATATTCCATTAACTTCAGTAGGATGTATAGGAGCTTGGCGTTTCCCAGGAGGAAGACGGTGATACTTAAGCATCTAATGAAAAATTCAGTCATATTGGCAAAATGTAAACACATACTATTCAGTTTAAATCTACACTTAGGCACCTACAGAACACTAGACTGTCTGTCTACCTAGAATTTATAGTGTGTACTAGAGAGGAAAAAATTGAACTTTGTGGCTCAGACGAGAAAAAACACAAATGTAACAAATTCTAACATTTAGGATAGAAGTTTAACAGTCTTCTACTATCGTCTGCAAAACTGATGACAGTTTAATATCAAAGTGAAGAGGAAAAGAACTCTGTGCCACCTATACTTCAGCAAAACAGGAAGATATGTAAACCCCTCAATTCAAAGCTGCAAAGAAAGCAAAGTCAAAGTTGTCTCCTACCATATAAAATCTCTGCAGTGCGAACAGTAAGTTGGTTGTCTAAGATAGGTGGCCATAAACTTGTGTCCATTAACCTGATGTACTCTGCGTCGCACAGCACCCTGCCGCTTTCGGGGGCGCATACGTTCCCGGAATACGCGTTCTTCATTGTCTTTGGGTGCTGAAACAAAAGAAAAAACAATAAGCACTGGCTATATCAGACACAAGCATGTGAAAACTCAAATGCAATACTAAGTAGGAAATTTTTTATTTCTCTAAAAATAAAAATAATCTCTCTAGCTAGCAGTGCAAGGTAACTTCCATAAGTTGTGGGTAGTTTATTTCTTTTTTAGCAACAATTACTAAAGGGCAAGGGTTTTCATTGCCTAGTACAGGAACTTATATTTGTTCTAAACCTTTATCTGTAAATTCACGTTAATCTGGAAATAAGTTTTCTGAACTTTATCACTATCAAGCACACTGACAACCTCTTTAACAGTAATTACACAGTTAGATTCTCCAAACAGCTCAGACTCTCATCTCATTTGATCTTCAGGAGAGAATAAAATTAAAAAGTCCACCAGAAAGTCCAAACATCCTCTGGTCTCCATACACTCAAGAAAGTGCTGACACAAGTGCAAGAAAGCTGAGTACAAACAGATATTATCAAGCAGAACAAAAATTCCATCCAGAACTGATTACTTTGTAGAATTCCCGATTAAGATCTGAGCTTCAGGCTCGAATAATCTACTTTGATACTAATACACTTTCAGCAAAACGTTCAAGGGAAGAATGTTGTTCCTCTTAAACAATTTTTGTTCAATTGTATACGAGATTTAATGGTAAAGGAAGTAAAAAATGAAGTTGATATTTCTCAGAATGAAAACCTTTGGAAAAAATCCTCCAGAGTGCATTGGGTCTCATTTCCCAAGGCTTTATTTTGAAAAGTATCACTAACATCTTCATAGTAGTCTGTACACATTAAGCAAAAGCTAAGGATGAATTAGCAATGAAGAACAGTACACAGTTTTTAATGAAAGACAGATTTTACAAGCATTCCTTGAGCCACTCATATCTCTGCAAAATAGAATATCAGATTTGGAGGGGCCCACATTGAGTCATCCATTGCCAACTGGATCTACGCACTTACTACTTCAGTGCACGTAACACTTTGAAATGTATTTAACACTTGTCATTCTCTGAATTTCAGCTACCCTGAACCATTATGATGGCCTAAAGACGCCAACTTTGGTCTGTTGCAAGCTTTTCTGTACACTAATGAGTTCTCCAAGCAACGGTACAGTATTTAACAGTAATACAAAGAAAATTAAAAGTCTGAGAACAACTCAAATCTATGATATTCTCAAATTATTTTACAAACACTGAAATAAACTATTTTTGAGAGTTGTAAAATTAAATGGTATTGATTTAAGAATTCTTAGAAAATGGTCTTAAACTAAGCCAAGGGATAGATATCCTGGGAGAATATAGGATGGCACAGACCCATGAATGGAGCTCATTTTCTTTTACTGCACAGCAAGGGCTAAACCCCATGATACCAGCAAATTCACTTATGCACTAAAAAGCCTAAACTCCTTACACATTAACATCTTAGAAAGACTTCATACTTAAGAATGGTTTTCACCCTAAGGAGAAAATTTATGGGATGGGCAGAATGGCTTCTATTCTAAGTGAGCTCTCAGTAAATAAACATTGACTTATACACAAAGCTACCTGTTTTATTTATGTCAAAAAAATCAAAAAGCAATGGCTCCAGGGCCCCCTTATTTATTTTGATGTTGTCAATTATGTTTATTTTTCTGCATTAAGCAAAACACTGATGTCTAATAAATACCACAGCCCCTCAAAAGTCTGTCTTCCACAGACAATACGTAACAAGTAGTTGGAAATCTTGTCTTGGAAGACGAGTCTTGGAAACCAAAGACTCCTAATTCCAGCTTCTGAATCATTTATTGACTTTACAAAACTGCTGGAAGTCTTTTAAAGTCATTATTATGGAAAACAATTCCATACTAACACAGAACTGTTCTTTTGGTTATCATCCAAATCATAGTATTTGCTGAAGTACGCAGCCTGGATGTGAGAAAGTTAAAATCCCACTCTCCTGGAAAGGGTTCCCAAAAAGTTATCTGCTCATATGAAATGAACAAAGTGTTCTGACACCACACAGTTCACACTTGATACAATAATCAGTCTACAATACTGCTTTTCTCCTTTTTTCATCTTAAGTGTAATTCTTCATGGATAAAGCACCTGTAATTTTACAGGGCACATAAAAATACTCTTCTTGTTTTGGTTAGATAAACAAAATATCATGACAATATTGTGGGTTTTTTTTTACCAACAAAGTCTTAAAACTATTTTTACTGTATTACTTTCAGTTCTATATTTAATACTTTTACGAAATTCCATTTTTCATTTACAATGTTTATAGTTAAAATAAAATGACAAAACAGTGCCTTTTTCAGAAATGCACTGACTTGAAAACAGCTACAAGCAATACACCAACCCTGAAATTACCAGATTAAATGGCAGGCCTCAATTATTGATATCATTTCCACAAAAACAGCACCTCTGTGCGTGAGAAGGATGCTCAAACAGCTCAGGGAAATACAGTTTTCTTGGTTTGTCTTGGGTAACGTTGGAGGTCTGATAGCCAGCTCCTCCAAAACTGTCTCTCCTGTCAATCTGCTCCTCCACATTTCTCACTAAAGACCATCACTTGGCCAAATCAGTGCACTGTGTCCTGCTTTAGCATTGAATTGCAGAGATAAGCTGCATGTCCAAGAGCGCTGACGCCCAAGCAGTGACTCTGCCTCCACCTCACCTCTCATTACAGCCTGTGTCAAGTCCCCACCTCGTCAGTCATCAGCAGCACTTATCTGGGGGGGCTGGAGTAACATCTGGCATTACAGTGCATGACTGGTCACTGGATGACTGAACACCACCTTTCATTAAAACAGACCAAGTCGCAAAAGAAATGAATTCACCCATGAGCCTTACCCTCAGTTTACATTAAGCTCAGCAAATTTGTGCTCTGTTACCCAACAAAAACACAAAAGCAATGCTTGTCCACAGTCCTCAAGCAGAACACTGTCATGTCTCGCATGATTCACACTGCTGTTGTGGACCACAGGCACAAAACCAGGCAGTAACTTACCCAGGTGACTCAGAAACAGATGATCACAACTGTGCTGGCTCATACCCAGGGTTGTGAACCACTAGTTTCTAGTATCACTAACAATAGTCCTATGTTTAAATTAAAATCCATTTGTCTCATACTGAACAGCCACACTAGAGATGTTGATTTAACTGTCTGAAGACATCTCCTTAGAAGGGAGCTTTTGCTCTCGCCAAACGTCTCTCAAGCAAGCAGGAAAACAGAGATCACTAAATGCTATCAGAAAACAGGGAGTACTTGGGAAAATCCCCACCATTTGTGTGCTACAGCCAACTAGTGTTTTCAAGACATACTTCAGAAAATACAAGCATCCTGAAAAAAACTGGTCTTTAAATATATTTTTAAAAGAAAAAGTCTTACAGTGGTACATGATACATCCATTAGGATACCACATACTGCCCAATCATGGCATTTCTATTCTTAGCAGAGGAGTTCAAATGAAAATTAAGCAGATTTACTGTAGTCAGCCTATAAGCAAGTTCCAATATAAACAAGAATTTCTTCTCACACTATTTCTACTAAATAGTCAGAGGGTTATCATTTGCTCAATGAAAGTTGTTTCTTTATGTAATGTACATTCTGTTCCTTGTTTTGACTTTGAGTCCTTCAGCCCTTTTCATTTTTCAGTTTATGTTTTTTAATGCATTTACTTAACTTTCATTTTCAAAAGAAGGAGTAAAAAAAGCTCATGATAATTTCGAAGTGCTCATGGAGAATACTGTCAATGCAGCACACTGAGTTTAGGCTTTATATGATGGTACTTGAGAACTGGCAAATTTAGAACTAATTTCTTCTCAAAACTATACCCAGTAATGCCACTACTTCTTTTCATTGCAGCCAAGAGTAACTTTTGAGTTATACAGAAAACAATAACATATAATTGCTTTTATAGACTCATATGTACATAAAAACATGCTGCCTGCTATTTCAAAGAGTGAAAAGACTTGCTGGCTTAACTCCACACTCTTAGAGAAGTATTACAAAGCTCAGAAGTACATGGCGTGCAAAGCTGCACAACATCCATAAATACTTGCAAAATCAATGTTTAAATGAACTGTCTGGAACCACATTTAACGCTGTTAATCGTGTAGTATCTCTTGAGTATACATTGTAAGTCACAATTTAAAAGATAAGAAAGTGACACATAATACTTAGCAACTCTTAAAGGGGGCAAGATAGGAGGAAATAGATCCTGTGCACCAAATAACAAATGCTGGAATGCGTCAGGTCTCATTTCATGCTAAAATGGTTTCAGCGCAAATGAGAAGGGTTCAGTGTGGAGCCTTGACTGCAACAGGCAGAAACAGCCTGTGTAGCAAAATGTGCCATTTCCATTCCTTATCCTCTATGTTGCGAGTACTTACAGAATTCTGACAACAAACAAAAAAAATGAAAAAGATAATGCAGGAAAAGAAAGAGATTACATGCACAGAGAAGTGCTGCTCGAGGCCCTGAGCAACCTGATCTAGTTGAAGATATCCCTGTTCCTTGCAGGGGGGTTGGACTAGATGACCTTTGAAGGTCCCTTCCAGCCCTAACCATTCTATGATTCTCTGATTCTAAGTTTTTCAGCATTTGCTATTGCTCGAAATGCCAACTTCTAAAAGCGAACATGCTGGGTATTTCCCTTAATCTGGAGGCGATTGCCATCGAACAGTGAGAGCATTTGGGGAAGAAAAATACTAAAATAGATGTTTCAGTTAAATGGCTACTGCCCCATCAAAGCCAAACTGTAGGCCTCGTACAACAGTAACACTCGCAGCAGCAGGTATAGCTGCCAGATAACCCCACGCAACAGAACGCTGACACCTCCACGGCACTTCCGGCACAAAGTGTTTTTCACCCCGGTCGTCTCTTGAGTGCCTTCACGTTGCTGTCATCTGTTACTACAGCCAGCATCCAGAAAAACCAGCTGGTTTAACAACAACCCTTAATAATTACCACAGAATCTAACCGAACAACAAATACAAAGGGACGAT